TATCGTTAATCTCTCTGTATAGCTTGCTCAATTTGTATTTTTCTTGTTTTGTTTTCCCCTGTTTGTTAGCTAAATTGTGTCTTTGGTTGATGAGTTCTTTTATTTCCTCTGTTATTATGTTTTTCTTCTCGTTTATCTTTGGTATTTTTGCTTCTGCAACACTGTTGAGGATGCAGTTTTCGACTCTGTTGTAGTACTCTTGTAGGCTTAAGGAAGAAGAAGAGTGGGGGTTTTCACTGCAATGTGTTAATTCTTGTGTCAGAATATTGTTAAAGATCTTAGGGTCAAAGTTGGCTTGAGGTTTTTGCTTGTAGTGCTTCCGCGACTTCTTTCTACTATTCAGATTTAGCTCTGCTCTCACTATACGGTGGTCACTAGGAAATTTAAATCTGCTCAGAGTTTTTACATCCTCTATTATTTTTGGAACGTTAGTCGTAATGAAATCAATTTCATTTCGTGTGATTCCATCTGGAGATTTCCAAGTCCATCTCCTACATTGAATCACCGAATGAAATAAAGACATGGCTAAAAAGACAAGCATCCAAGTCAAAAATCATAATAAAAAATGAATCTTAACCAGCGTAACCAATGTGTAGTAAATTTATACTTTTGGGTAGATTTTAGGTTTACATTTTACTGGAGTTGAAATTATTTTTAATCTGGTTGATATTGCTATCACAATCAAGCGCAACTAGCCTTTACGAAAATATCCAATAATAGTATTAATTTTATTAAATATAGTACAGGTATTAACGAAAATACAAGATATCAATATGTATATAATAACAAAGATCTTATCTACAGATTAGGTCGATCATTGTATTAGAAAACGTTTACGATTAAATAAGAAGGAATTGTATAATTAGCGTCTGTGTTTGTAAGTCTCAGCTTAGTTGAGGTCACTGTATTTATGCACCTTTATAATTAATTAAAATGACCGGGTGACCTAGTAGTCAGAGCAGAGTATGATGTAGGTTTTGGGTTTCAGTTGGGCGAAGAAGTTATGTTATGTTTGGCCTACAGTACAACCCTGCTGCTAAGCTATTTTCTGATCATATATTATTAGTGTTAAATTGGAATGTAAAACTAGAATATCGCCTGCGTAATTAATATAATCAAGCAGAGATTTTATATCTCATCCCCAAATTAACACATGCAATGACAAATAAACTTTTTAGGCTTACTAAAAACCAGGAATATTGTTTCAGCAACAGCATTTTATAATTGGTGAGCTAAGTTTGCCCTACACTCCATAACACACGGGACAGTAATGTAAATGTAAATTATAATCATGCGTCATGCGCGAATTAAGGGTAACTTAGATCTTTCTTGTAATATTGAATAGAAATCAGAGTCCAGTAAAGTCTATAATCCGTTGACGCAATTTCCGCATGTATAAAATCAGCGACTGACTATAGTATTATGTGAATATATTTTCAGACATTTTACTTACATTGATTTCTGTTCTATATATATATATATATATATATATATATATATATATATATAATTCCTTAATTATAATCATTATCATGTTATTAATAATTATTTTACAATCAAATAAATATATATTTAAAATTAAAATAAGAACATAACAGAAAGAAATAATAATTGCTATTTATTATTTATAACAAATGTTACTTAAACTAAAATGAAAAGATTCCACGCACTCATTTTTTATTAAATGTTATGCTTCTTCAAGTTGTTTGTTTTTTGTCATGCAATTTATTTTTATTACATTCTTTAATATTATTTATTTATTTATATAATTTAAAAACTCTTGGCTTACAGAAAATTCAATATGCACACAAGGTTAAATTTTACATGTAAAATTAAAAAAAAAATTGAACCCATCCATAACAACGAAAATTAATAATCATAAATTAAATAATTATAAAATAATAGTAATATAAAATCTCAAAGCTTTTAGCAGTCCGTGTCAACAAATTAAAACTGTAATAAAGCCAATTAAAACAATAAAGTATTAATAATTATACAATTAAATATTTTGTCACATCAATTTATAATGGAATGTCGTTAACTCGACACCGCCAAAAAATGCACCTCCTTTCATCGAATAGTATAGGAGTATGACACGACTAACGAAACTGGAATTTTGATATAGGTAAATTCATGTCTTTATGTTAAATTTGCTTGTTCAAAAACACGATTGTAAAATTTTGACTCGATCATAATTATTTGCGAAAACACCTCTAAAAAATCACTATAGTTGAAATTACAATGAAATTACTTAATTTATATGCTTGGGAACCACTCAAATACATTCATAACATCAATATTCGTAATTTACTTGCTCATTATTTTGATTACTAATCAATAACTTTTTAAAAATATTTTGAAATTCTACGCGTTTTCTAAGCGGTCTTGATCATCGCGAGCGCCACGCAATATTACATTATGAAGGCTTTTTTGAAGTTTTTATAGAAATTATGTTTCACTCGGGTCAGTCTGGCGATAGCCCGCTTCAAGGATTTTCGATGTGTCGCCTTAAAAGCTAATTACAATCCTAATATACCCATAATTAAAATTACATCTTAAATACAAAGTATATAAATATAAAATATAATAGTACGTAGTCAATGAAATTAAATTGTCAAATTATTAATTGTCATGTCATCGATACTTTTATAATAATGTACAGAACAGGTGAGTAATAATAAAATATGGTTTTATTTTAAAACAAAAAGGTTAGTTTTTTTTAGAGAAGAAGCTTTTGTAGAATAAGGGTGATAATTGAGTAAACAGCCCACCTGATGGTAAGTGGATACACAGCATAGAAATTTATATCTATCCTCGGTTAAGGATCAAAATGCAGATGCGTTGTCAACCCTGACGACTAAAATACCTCGTTAACAGTTAAAAGGATCTTCGGTTCTTCATCATACGAAACACAGTAGCATTAAGCTGCTATTTTACTGTTGTAGTATATTTTCTGAGAGCGTGGTCCTACTCCGGTCAAGTTGACCCATTCGTGCTACAACCATAATATTGCTGCACCATGGCTCTACCACGTGATATAGTGATGGGTCGACTCGAGTTAATTCAAGTTGGATCGTCCTAACTCGAGTTTGGGCTGCTGTACATGAGCGGATCAAGTGCGCCAGCAAAAGAATAAAAGCACGATTGTGTTGTGTACACGTTTTGTGTTTCAAAGAGCATTTAGCTACAACCAAAGCAATTTGTTATTTAGAATTTTATAATAGCCAAGTTATGTAATTTAATTTATTTTCTAATTTTGATTAATTATGATCAATATAGTTATGTAAGTCACAGAAATATAATTGTAATACCCAAAAAGGGTGGTTAAGTTGTAAGATACATCATATTTTAAATTAACGCCAAATGTAACATTTAACTTACTATAAATATTATGAATTATAATTTACTAGTTGTGCCCCGCGGTTTCACCCGCGTCATCACGTGTTGGAGGTGCGCGACATGACATGATACCTAGTTCACGCATTTTATAATTGCAATTAAATATTTAATTTGATATCAATGTATGGAAAACTTGGCATAATTAATGGAGTACTTTTATCTGTCGGCATATTATGTATGATGTAGAGCAAAGTTAAGTTTTATCCACTTTCCTTTCCCACCCCCTCCCCCACCCCACGTCCCAGAAAGTGTCCCGAAGCGCGGTTTTTCCAGTTTTAAAGAAAACCGTACACGATACATGAAAAGTGTGTAGGCATGAAATGATTCTTGAGCTATCAAACTCTTATACTTATTAATCAATTAAATTATCAAAATACCATAGCAACATGAAATGAAAGAGTTCAGAAATAATTTTTAATTTATTTTAGCTATAATGATTGAAATAACCTCGCTCATAGAAGCCTTCAATACTGGCTTCTCGCAGTCCTCACCGGGCGGCTAGGGTTTATGCGTGGTTCGCGCGCCCAGCCAAGTATTGAATAATTTAAATTTTACATTATCTCTTAAACTATGCGTCCAAATAACATGGTATAAAGAACAAAGTTTATCTTCATAAAATTGTCTTGATGATGAAGTAACTTTCGTTCGTAAGGATAAATCATCATCATCATCATCCAAAATACCTAATTATGGCTTATGTATAAGAAATAGACATATGGTATCGCGGACTTTTTTTAGACGGAGTAAATATCTATATTTTTCTAGAACATTGTATTTACGTATCCCTAACGATAACACCAGCGTACGCGGAGAAATCATTTCGGGAGTGCTTTTTCTTCTGACTTGCTTAACAAATATCCATATTTAAGGCTAACTGAGTGATATAGCTTAATGCTAGATAGCCTATACTATTTCACATGAATCTGGCTATAATATACAAAAATAATTATTCAAGTCGGACTGGTAGTTCCAGAGATTAGCGCGTTTAAACAAACAAAAAAACAAAAAAAAAACTCTTCCCCTTTATTATATTATAAGCATAGATTTAAGAATATTTTGACTGTGATAATTACACTATTAATAGCTTATATACCTACATCTTATAGCTAGACTAATATTGTTTCGTGCAGACCGCTATATAGCTAGTTTTGTTGTAAAATACAGGTACTTACTATAACTAACATTAAAACCAAAAATACATAAGTAAGTAATATAAATAAAAAGGTATATTTAGTATATTATACTAAATATACCTTCTTATTTCAATTCTACATAATACGTTTGATAATTATAGTTATCCCAATCCATCAAAGAGCTATTTAGAAAAACAAATTTATAAAATAGTAATTTGTAACAAACCATTTACTCTTTTTCGTACTGCTTACTTGAGTTGCGTAACTCGTGTTTAAATTCGAGTTGCGTGAATTTCAACTCAAGTCGTAATTTTTCAGAGTTGGCATATCTATAACGTGATTTAACGCTTTGGTAAATTTTAAAAGTTGTCGCAGTGTATATTTTTTACCTGTCGCCTTTAATTTGAATGTAGTAACACTTATAATAATTCTTGTTGTTGTAGCAACTTGTTGTGTTTAGTCTATGGCACTTCAATTTGACGATAATGGCGAGCACGTCGAGGTCTGTTTTTAATTTTTATTTTTCTTCTTGTTTCCTTCATAGCGAAGTAAATTTATTATTAATCAAACGAATATTACCTAAATGTTATATATTTTGAGTAAGTGACTAGCTGTGGTGGATATAGCTATGAAACGTGAAACAAAATAGTTCATGATGTTCTTGAATGATGCCTTTACTTTCTTTTGTAATTTTAGGATCGAAGCAAATAAGGTGGTATGCTATGCGCACCCTGACGCACCACTCATCGAGGATTACAGGGCTGGTGATATGATATGTTCAGAATGTGGCCTTGTGGTTGGAGATAGGTAAAACTTGTTATTTTGTTTTTTTTTTATTGTTTTACCCATGAAATGTTCTTGCATAAAAATTACAGCAAAAAGTAGAATTAACAAATACTTTTTATAACTTTTTTTAAACATTCTGTACAAATCTAAAATTAAAAGAAAATTTTTGTTAAAAGTAAGATAGTTAAATTACATATTTTTAACAAAATTATTATGCTTACAGTGACTGCTAGTTTTAGATATTTGCTATTTGAAGGCAATCCTTGAAAATAAATTATTTGTTCAAGTGAAACTTAATTTTGTAATAACTGATAATTATTTTAATTGAACACTTATTATAAGACAAATATAAAACAACACTTTTCTTGGGAATATTAGTTTTATAGTTGATTATCGAAAGGTCTTAACTTACCTACATACAAAAGTGTAATGTTCTTTCTGTTTTAAGCCTAACCTTTGCCTATAAATTGTGATCATCTTTGAATATTCTGGGATTATCAATGAAACCACAGGGTTTTGTGTCTCTACCAATGCACTGTTTTTGGTTCCTACTCTAAAGAACATATTACATGCAGTGTTATTTAAATTAATGTACAAAGAGATTTAGACAGAATATAATAGGGTCTTCTTAATTGTTGATCTAAATTATGTTGATATTCTTATTAATTAATTTATTAGTTAGATGCTATCTAATGGGCCTTGTAAATAAGTTAAAGTTTAATTAATTTTCAGAGTAATAGATGTTGGGTCTGAATGGAGGACATTTAGTAATGAGAAATCTGGAGTAGACCCATCTCGTGTAGGTGGTCCAGAAAATCCATTACTCTCAGGAGGTGATCTATCTACGATTATAGGGCCTGGCCGTGGTGATGCTTCTTTTGACAGTTTTGGGGTATCAAAATATCAGAATCGACGAAATATCAGTAGTACAGATAGAGCACTTATAAATGCATTTCGAGAAATAAATACAATGGCTGACCGTATAAACTTACCAAAGACAATTGTGGACAGAGCTAACAATTTGTTTAAACAGGTAAAAATTCAATTATTTTATATTTTTGTAGTATAGCAAATAAACAAAATATCACTTTTGTTGGTGGTTCACTTATATGATTGGTGATTTGTGGTAGCAAGTTTTGATCAGCAAAGTCAATATTTGTGAATTATACTAAATTATTGGATTTTAATCCTGGACCAAATTTACACACTGAACCAAAAGCAGAGAGGTAGGGCTATACTGTTCACTAGGTCATGCTACCATCTTGCTTTCCTCAAATTCGGTGTATGTGTACACCATACATATTAGTGCGTTTTTACCTATACTAATATGTATTTTGTTATATACACACAAATCAAAATTCCTTTAAAATTGTATAAACAAAATTATTGTTAAGTGGAATTATGCCTAAAAAAAGTCCCGCTGGGTTTCTTGCTGGTTCTTCCCAGGACACGGGGAATTTTCCAAACCAGTAGTAAATAAAAAATGACTTTCAGTAAGTATTATGTAATAATCAATATTGAATAAAAAGCATTCTACTCTATTCTATTCTATTCATTCTATACTAGTATCATATGTTGCCATCTTTGATGCACAAATAGGAAATGGATTGAATGATGGAATCACACAGAATGTCGCATGTGTTGTTATACGGCGAATTTTGAGCTAGGCACCTACTAGGCTGGTTTGGGTTTGGTCGCATTGTAATGTAAAAATCCATCTGCTGTGCATTCTGTATGAAATTGTACAAGGGAGAGCGTGAGAAGGAATCCGTCGGAGAAGGAATCCGTCGGTGGATAACTCAGCGGGAGTACTTTACCCGAACCCTCTAATTGTGGATATAGAACTTGATCAACACATGGACTAATTTAAAAAAAATTCTAGTTTCATTAAAAATCTACAAAAATTCTGCAAGATATGTGAAATTAGTCAAAGAATTTCAGCAGATAATAATAATAATAATAATAATAATAATAATAATTTCTTTATTTGCTTAGAAACATAGTATTATAAGCTGGTACAAGTTTGACAGAGCGCATATGTTTCGCCATTATGAAAATAGCATGCAAATAACACATTGAGTTTAAAAATATTATAATAAGATTACATGTCAATTCATACTAATAATATAATAATTATCACCAAATATGTCACTGTCACACGAATAAAAATTGAATAAAATAAGAATTTATAACTATATTAATCTATGTTAAGTTTTTGGTACAGAGAAATGAATCTATGCTATAAAAGTTATTCTGACTTAGCCATTTGTACAACCTATGTTTAAACATATTGATATTGAGCATTTTAATATCTCTAGGAATCTTGTTATATATTTTGACACCCATACAGAGGCAACTTTTTGCATACTTATCCGACCTTGGAATGTCATTATATATCAATCTGTGAGGATCTCTCAATCTAAAATTATTAACTTTGTTAAATAATTCTGTGTTTTTGTGTACAAAAACCGCAACTTCATAAATATAAAGTGATGGTAGTGGCAATAATTCTAGACTTTTATACAGTGGTTTACAGGAAACGTCAGGTAAAACTCCACATATGGCTCTAATGCATTTTTTTTGAGCTATAAATGCTCTGTTTTTGTCCGTACTGTTGCCCCATAGTAAAATGCCGTAGCGCAATATCGATTCTATGTAGGCGCGATAGGACATAATAGCGGTCTTTTTGTCGGTTACGGTCCTAACACGTTTAAGAGCATATACAAACTGATTAATTCTGTTACACAAATGGTCTATATGTATTTTCCAGTTCAAGTTCTCGTCAATAGTTATACCTAAGAATTTCAATTGTTGTACTTTTTTTATCTTTGTCACATTTAGATTAAAATTGTGCTGCTTATGTTTTGATTTATTGAATTGTATATAGTATGATTTATCAAGATTAATATTTAAATTATTTGCTTTAAGCCATTCGATTATTATGTCAATAGTATTATTAATGTCACATTCATGATTATGCAAAGAGACATTGGTTTTAGATTTGTTAGACGTAATAATTATGGATATATCGTCAGCATATAAAGTACATTGATGTTTTGTTACTTCTGTTATGTCATTAATGTAAAGTATGAATAGAATGGGTCCAAGTACGCTTCCTTGTGGGACACCAGTGCTGCATTCTCTATATTCAGACGAAATAGAACTAATTTCATTATTAAATATTTTTTTGAGGACAACTTTTTGTTTACGCCCACTTAGATAAGACGATATCCATAATAATGGGGGTCCTCTAATTCCGAGAGATTCCAGTTTGCTCACAATAGTTTTATGTGCAACGAATTCAAATGCCTTTGATAAGTCAATAAAGAGTACAGTTGTTAGATAATTGTTATTTAAGCTGGTCAATATTTTATTTATTAGGTTAAATACTGCTAAAGTTGTTGATTTTTCTTTCTGGAAGCCAAATTGTTCCTTTTTTATAATATTATACTTAGAGCAAAAACTCATAAGCCTTTTTAACATGCACTTTTCATATAACTTTGAAAGAATCGGTATTAATGTTATAGGGCGATAGTTTGCTGGATGTTTTTTATCCCCCTTTTTGTACAGTGGTTTGACTAAAGATAGCTTTAACTTATCTGGAAATATACCTGCAGAAAAGGACAAGTTTATGAGATATGTAAGGATATCGACTATTTCAGTGACGCACGTTTTTAATATATTAGTGGATATATAGATCATTCTTATGATCAAAGAAAAGTGATGAAATTCACCACAAAATCTTCATTTCTTATCTATATTATAGGTCCAAACTTTGTTTTTGATATTTATTGTTGTAATTCCCCATGTTTAATGGGGTATATAATCAAAGCAGTTGGCAAAAATCCACATATAAGGCCTGAGCTGCCTCACATAATAGACTCAGTACGCAAAAATTTCTGCTGCACCATTGCTGCATGGCACATTTATAATGCCACACCTAGCTCAAGTTTCGAGTTCTGCGTCGCTTTTTATTTTCTACCCACTATCGCTGACATAAAATTGGCTAACAATCCACCTTATACCTAAGTATCAGGTGGATTGTTCCTTAAATCAACTTTAAGCAAAGAATGCCATAGATGTCAATCATAGTGACTAAGGTGAAACATCTCACAGTTCAGTGAACCCAACTCAAACATCTAAAAACTAATTTATTAACCTATATATATGAGTGTGTGTGTTAATTAAGATGAGATTATTATCGATACAGATTTTTATTTAATTATATAACTTGACAATTTCGTGAGGAAAATTCAAACCTGTTTTTATTATGACTGTTTTAATAAATACATAATATCAATTAACTTCATTCCAGGTTCATGATGGCAAAAACTTAAAAGGCAGAGCAAATGATGCTATAGCTTCTGCTTGCCTCTATATTGCATGTAGACAAGAAGGTGTTCCTCGTACATTTAAGGAAATCTGTGCAGTTAGTAAAATAAGTAAAAAAGAAATAGGAAGGTGTTTCAAACTAATTCTCAAAGCACTTGAGACTTCAGTGGACCTTATCACTACTGCAGACTTCATGTCCCGGTTTTGTTCAAACCTTGGATTGCCCAATTCAGTGCAAAGAGCTGCAACTCATATTGCACGAAAAGCTGGAGAATTGGATATTGTGTCTGGGCGTAGTCCTATCTCTGTTGCTGCTGCTGCCATTTATATGGCGTCACAGGTTAGTTTAGTTAAAAACCAGTTTTATGACTTCAAAATACTTGTAGTTTTTTAGGAAACATGCTCATAAACATTAAACAATTTTATAAAATTCATAAAATTTCATGCAGTGTTGTAGCATAAGAGTATCCATTACCTCATTTATCATCACATGGGTAAGAGGCATTGTAAGATGGTATTCTGACAACAACTTAATTTTGAAGATCTGGCAATGAGTGATTTGGGTCGGTGGTATTTCACTTATATATATATAAGTGAAATACCACTATATATATTTAGTGGCACCTATGACTAATACTCTAGGCGGCTGAGATTAGCCTATGTTCCGTAGTGGACTCTTAAAGGTTGTGATGAATGAAAACAATACTGAAATGCAATTTTATATTTACCATGAAAAAATTGTTATTATAGTTTTGTATAATTGGTGGATTATGATTCATGGACCATATCAGGTCATGGATTTTGTATTCTGTCAATTCTGAGATGCTGTTAGTTTGTGGGTGACCAAACAAATTTCTTTTTAGATAACAATCTTCTCTGTTTTACAGGCTTCAGAAGACAAGCGCAGCCAGAAAGATATTGGAGACATAGCTGGTGTTGCAGATGTTACTATTCGGCAGTCATACAAGCTCATGTATCCATTTGCTGCTAAGCTTTTCCCCGAAGATTTCAAGTTTGCCACTCCAATAGAGTTCCTGCCACAAATGTAAAATGTTATTTGTTATAATTTATATTTCTTACAAGTTATGTTTAAGTGGGAAGTGTTTAGAATAAATCAAAATAAAGGGTCATATAAAGACTATACGACTACTGCCTCAATCTTATTTCATGAACAGTTGCCAGAGTAGGGGAGTAGCCAATTTAGAAGATAATTAATATATTGCAATAAAGTATAATTTGGACTTGCTACTTTAAGTAGCCTAAAAACTTGGTCAGTAATTCATTTTTAGTAAAACTAAATTTGTAACCTCTTTAAAAATATATATGAATAAGATTTTTTTTTACTGTAAAAGTTGTGACAACATTACGCTATCAGCCTTAATTTACAATCATTGATTATTGCTCATTTCATTTAACTATTAATTATCTCTTTAACTGTAATTTTCTATTGTAATTTAGTGAAGAAAAGAGCAATTTTTAAGCTTTGCTGTAATTGATGTCAATTTTTTTTTAATAAGGCGGTACAATTTCTATTTCTGTAGGCTACTCCTATTTATATAGCTTGCTTTGACAAATATTAAAAAGTATTTCAATTGAAGAGTTTTAAACACCCTACTATCATAGTCGGCGGTGTTCTGTGGCATGGGTTCACACTCCTCAAGCTTTTGGCATTCCGGTCATTTAATGTCATGAAACAAAATAATGACAACTTGATTAGTGGCTAAGCGCTCAACTGTGGCACTGTAGGGCTTGGGTTCGATTCCGCATATCCTAAAAGTAATTATTCCGGCTCTAGATGTTTGACTGTGTGCAGTTTTATGATTATTATATTTAGAACTCCTCCACGATATGGGAACAATTTCTTGTGTGGGGTTTAACATTTTAAAAGAACAAAAAATAGTATAGTAAATTATATATGATATGAAATCAACCAACTATTTATAAACATCTATATAATCTCTTCAGATTGAATTTTCTATGAATGTGAATAATTTCAAAAGATTTAATAGTTCAAAACTAATGTTATTGTTATATTATGTAAGCTAAATATTGTTTACGTTCATAGAAAACTGAATTGTGGAATAAACTGTTAGTATTTTAAGTGGTAATACATATGAGCGAAACAGGAGTATGTTTATGATTATTTAACCATGGGCTTGTGATGGTTAATGAAACATTCTCCATTTAATTTTGAAATAACAATATTCAGCAATTTACTTAGTAAATGTGACGGATTTGTGTTGCGTGTATATTAAAGTTTTATGATTTATAATGGTGATTGTATGCTGAGTGCGTTAGAAATATTGACCGAAGTGAGCAAAACATGTTGCATATTTATATGAGGCATAATATAAATGTATATTTGTTACCATCTTATTTTGCATTATGTAATAATAATGTTGGGTCTTGTAGTATTCATTTTGACCAATATACATGTTATGATTAAGTAAAACATGATCTCTTTGATTTTTTGCATTAGGAACTCCTGTAATAATTGCTTTTTTAATTTGTAAGTACAGTATTAAAAAATACGGTTTGTATGTACTGATTGATTAAATGATTAAAAATTGTTTTATAGACATACTTGAAGTAGAGGAATATTAATCAAAAACAGAAATAATAAGAGTGAATGGAAAGTGATAACAAAGTATGGAGATTTTCAATGGTAGATTGTTAAAATGTCCTAATTTGATTGTGATGAACAGGAATCTAAAAGTACTATTTGACAAATTTTTGTAATAAATAAAGTAACGTTCTACATACATAACATTCTTCGCTTTTATTAACATGTTACTCAAATACATAAAATAATTGTTGCATATTATATGTCATTTACATAACATGTATGCAAATTATCACATACATATTTGTCGGCCATGTAATTGTGTTGTCAGGTTTACTACACTGCAATCTATTTCTTCGTAAGTTATTCGTATAATCCCATTGTATGGCTTTTTCCAGAAAAACTCATTCAAAGGGGTTATATGAACTTAGAGGCTTATATTGGTGATTTTAATGATAATAATTCTGTAAACACATACTCGTTACGGTCGCGAATCATACTTTGTTAAACATCCAACCTGACGAAACCTGAGCAAATTCCAAAAACGTAAGAACATTTGAATTTCGCGGGCTACCCTGGCGCTTTCACCTTAACGTTGCTGTGTTTCGTATGGTGAGTGTGGAGAACCGGAGGCTGACAACGTATCTACATTTTGATTCGCTAACGAGGATAGATGTAGATGTCTATAGTCTACAGCAGCCACTTACCATCAGGTGTACTGTGTGCTCGCTTGACAATATTATCCTATAAAAAATAGTCGAGTAGCAGACTCATGCTGGCAAAAACAGTAAATCGCATCCTCCACTAGAAGTCATAATGATCTAATGAGCCTTGCCGAAAACCTTTGCATACAGGTGACTAGCTTTTCAGAACGTGCTTTATGGTTTCTGTTAAAGGTTAATGTTCAGCCTATATTATGTCTCGCTGCTGGGCATGTACCTCACTACTTAAGCCTTGCGGCTATTATTGTGCCGCGTAGTAGCATTATTCCCCTCATTGACTACGAACACCGCGTTTACCTCCCAAAAATTTGAAAATTTATTACCAGTGTAACACTTTTGCTATTTTTTATTATCAGGCGATATAATTCTAATTTAATAATAAGATATATGGAACTTCGTGTTGCTTAAATGTACGTAGTGTAAGAGGTAAAAGTAGAAATTGGAGAAATAATCAAATTTGTACTTATTTACTATATTTTGGCAATGGTCACGCTTAGGAGTGGTATTATCTTTATAATCCATGGTGCACCATGTTATCATCATCATCATCATAATAATTACAACCCTTCACAAGTCCATTGCTGAACATAGGCCTCTCCCAAGGAATGCTACAAAGCACAGTACTGAGCCACCTGCATCCATCGACTTTCTGCATGTCTTACCAGGTCGTCACCCTACACTTCGCCTACTGGTACGAGGCTGCCACTCGAGAACCTGTTCTCTCCATCAGTTGTCGGTTCTTCGAGCTATATGGCCGGCCCATTGCAACTTCAGTTTACTAATCCGTAAGTATGTGTGTAAGAGTGTAATGTAAGAGATCGTGTAATTTCTGAACGACTTGACCGATGTAGGTCATATTTACACATTATAATACGTTGGTGATGGTTCATAGCTATGCCAGGATCCGATACCTAGATGGCAAGTTATTAACGAGCTATATACTTTATGGACCAAAATATTTAATATTCACAATGTACGTTAGTTTAGTACATAATAGAAAATTCACAAAATCTGGACTCCATAGGTTACGTTGTGGCCGATTTATCAAGAAGTTTTTTATTTACAAACTAGCTGTTCCTCGCGACTTCGCTCGCGTAATAGGGTTTTTATGTTTTTGCACGGAACCGTAATTCTTTTTCTAAAATAAAAGTAGCCTAAGTTACTCCTTATGAAATCAGCTATCTGCCAGTGAAAGTCCCGTCAAAATCGGTCCAGCCGTGTCGGAGATTAGCCGGAACAAACAGACAGACAAAAAAAAAATGTATTTTAGTTATATGTACCGTATTTACTTTCATATGCATTTAGTAAAAAACTGTAATTTTGACATTACAAACAGACACTTTAATTTTATTTATTTGTATAGATAGCGACTCGTCCCGTCTTCGCCTGGGTGTAAGATTTATTAATGTGGCGTCATTTAGATTTTTTTAAATAAACATCAATGGCCATTTATTTTATCAATTTTTCGTTTTCACAAAAAAGAATACAAGTTTTACGGATAAAATATAGCTTAGATCACTCCTGGTTTTTCTCACTTTTTTTTATAGGAGGGGGCAAACGAGCATGCGGCTCACCTGATGGTAAGTGACTACCGCCGCCCATGAACAACCGCAACACCAGGGAGGGAATTGCAGATGCGTTGCCGGCCTTTTAAAAAGGAGTGGGCTCTTTTCTTGAAGGTCCCTAAGTCGTATCGGTCCGGAAAAATCGCTGATGGTAATCGATTCCACAAGGAAGTCGTGCGAAGAAGAAAACATCTTCTAAATCGCACAGTGGTGGACCGCCAATCATCCAGATGGTGTGGATGGTATCGGGGGTTCTGCCGCGATGTACGTTCGTGAAATTTGGCGGCTGGGATTAATCCGAACAATTCCTCATAGCACTCCCCGTGGTAGATGCGAAAGAAAATGCAAAGGGATGCAAAGGAAGGAGCTGGCACTGGGGCGCCCCTGCCCAGATATGGGAACAGTATTCCATGTGAGGCCCAACCTGAGCCTTGTAAAGTTGCAAGCGGTGTGCCGGCATGAAATACTGTCCCGCTCTGCTGAGCACGCCAAGCTTCTTAGAGGCCAATTTGGCCTTCTCTTCCAAGTGACCACGAAACTGCACGTCACTCGATATGTCGACTCTGAGGATTCCGATACTGGCTGAGGCAAGAAGGGGAGTACCTTGAAACTGAGGAAATACGACAAAGGGGTTCTTTTTAGGGGTAAACGCGCAAACTTGTGTCTTCTGAGGATTAAACTGCCCCCAATCCGAGACTTTGTTCAGCAAAGACGACTTCAGACACAAGTTTGTTCCGGTACTCGGCAACGTTTTCCCGAGAAATATTGACACGGCCGTTGTATAGAGCATCACCAGTGCTGTCATCCGCATAGCAATGAATGTTACCAGTTAGCAACATATCATTGATATGCAGAAGAAACAGCGTTGGTGATAGCACACAGCCTTGTGGAACACCAGCGTTAATAGGCTTGTAGTCGGAGCATGCACCGTCTACAACGACCTTGATGCTCCGATCTGCAAGGAAGCTGGTGATCCAATTGCACAATTTCTCGGGAAGCCCATAGGAAGGGAGCTTCGAAAGAAGCGCTTTGTGCCAAGCCCGATCGAAGGCCTTCGCAATGTCCAAACTAACGGCCAACGCCTCCCCCTTGGACTCTATTGCCTCCGCCCATCTATGGGTCAGGTAGACCAGAAGATCACCAGCTGATCGACCCCGACGAAAACCGTATTGGCGGTCACTAATCAGCTGGTGATCCTCAAGGTACCGCATGAGCTGGAAGTTAATAATGGATTCCATTATTTTGGAGAACAAGTAGGTGATGGCGATAGGCATATAGTTGGACTGGTCTTAGCGGTCGCCTTTTTTAAGGATCGGGTGAACAAAAGCTGTCTTCCATGATTTCGGGACTACGCCTTGGGAGTAGGAGTACCGGAAAAGACGCGTTAGGACCGGTGCCAACTCCGGAGCACACGTCCTCAGCACAATTGGGGGGATTCCGTCAGCCCACACGACTTCTGGATGTCCAGGGAGAGGAGTGCTTTGCGAACCGAGCGCTGTGAGAACAGCACATCCGGCATGGAGCACTCACACCGCGGGATCGTCGGCGGTGTTTTCCCCCCGTCATCAAGAGTCGAGTTGGACGAAAAAAGAGAGCCTAAAAGGTCGGCTTTGTCTTTTGCGGCTTGGGCCAGTGAGTCGTCCTCCCTGTGCAGAGATGGTAGTATTGGCTTACAGAAATTCCCTTAGACAGCCTTGGCGAGAGACCAGAATGCACGGGTTCTCGATGGAAGGCGAACTAGTTTCTCGCTAATTCTGCCTATGTGCTCTGATTTTGCCTTGGCAATAACTCTTTTGAAGGACCTGGAGGCGAAGTTAAACTTCTTTTTAAGTGTGCTGGCGTTTACATTCCGAGTCGCCGAAGCCGCAGCCCAGGCTTGATAACACTCCTGCTTACTGCGTAATGCAGTCTTATAGGATCGACCAAACCAAGGCTGTGATCTGCCTCCGATGGGTACCACAGATGATGGAGTAAATAGTTCCATTCCCTGTAGCACCACATCAGCGACAGAGTCAGCAACAGCCCTGGGATCATCCGGCGAGAAGCAAACCCGCCCCCATGGGTAGGATGCAAAGAAAGACCGCATTCCGTCCCAATCCGCCGACCTGTAATGCCAATCACAGCTGCAACCTGCAGAACGCAACCGCGAGGGGAGCGTGAGTGGTACTACACTACACAAGAGCCGAGAGGGGCATCGACCGAAACCTGATATCCGTCCGGATGAGAGGTCAGCAGTAGGTCCAACAGGGAAGGTGTATGATCCTCCACATCTGGAATCCGCGTAGGCGAAGTAACCAGTTGTGTCAGACCATATGCCAAGGCAAAGTCATAAACAGATCTCCCCGCATGATCGGTTAAACATGAACCGAGCCATTCGGCATGGTGGGCGTTAAAATCGCCAAGGATCACGATCTCTGTGGATGGGACCTGTTGTAGCAAGGAATCTGTAGCCATTTGGACGTGGTCGATGAGTCGGTCTGTTTCGGCATTACCGCTATGGGACCTATAGAGGCACCCGTAGACGCGCGGATGGTCGTCGCTGTCTACGTGTAGCCAAAGGATGGACAGGTCTGAACCTTCAAGACTGCCGAGGCGTCGAGTACAGATGTCCTCTCTAACATATACGCAAACTCCAGCCCGAGGCACAAAGGAGTGCTCCAATTTGTACCCCGGGTAGGAGAGATACGAAGTATCAGCCGGAGAGGACACCTGCGTCTCGGTCAGAAAGAGCAAGGCCGGCTTCGCCATCTCGAGATGGTAGTGGACGGCGTTTAGGTTCGAGTGAAGTCCCCTGGTGTTGCAGAAATTCACGGATAGCATGGCAGGGGTCGCATTGGTGTTATTGCTCAGTTTGTCCCGAGCAGTTATGTTTTTGAGCGGAATTTTGCTCAGCGAGGGATTCTCCAGGTGTGCT